TGAGTATGTGTGTGGGTGCATGTGTGTGTGAGAGAGATGTTCCCACAAGCCCTAACATCCGGATCCTTATCTAAAAATTAAGATTTAAAAGCTATTGGTATTGTTGTTGCTAAGTGCCATAGATTCGGTTCCAACTCATAGTGACACTGTATAGTGTTTTGGAGGCTTTATATCGTCACCATTCATCTGTCAGCTTATCATACTGTGGTGGCTTGCATGTTGCTGTGATTCTGGAAGCTATGCCATGGGTATTTTAAATACCAGCAGGGTCACCCACAGTGGCCAGGTTTCAGCTGAGTTTACAGAGGAAGACAGACTAGGAAGAAATAGAAATGGACTAATTCCAAATATTTAGTCATTGAAAACCTTGTGAACAGCTGTGAAACACTGTCAGATACAGTGCCAGGAAGGCCCCTCAGCTTGGAAGGTACTCAAACTACAACTGGGGAAGATCAGCCTCCTCAAAGTAGAGTTGACCATGATGGCATGAATGGAATAAATAGGAGCCTTCATTTGCTGATGGGGCACAACTCAAAATGAGGAGAAACCACTGTAAACATCCATTAATAATCAGAATATGGAATTAATAATCAAAGTATGAATCTAGGAAAATTGATAATTGTCAAAAGTGAAATGGAATATATAAACATCGATATCTTAGGCATTAGTGAACTGAAATGGACTGGTGTTGGCCATTTTGAGTTTGACAATCACATGGTTTACTATGCCGGGAATGACTAATTGAAGAGGAATGGTGTGGCATTCATCATCAGAAAGAAAATATCAAGATCTCTAGAAGTGCAACGCTGTCTGTGATAATATCCATATGCCGACAGGTAAGACCAGAGTCCTGATGTGGTGCTGTGGGTTAATGCAGTAGACTGCAAAGCTGTTTGAACTGCAAGGTCGGTGGTACAAGTTTACCAGCTGCTCCTCGGAAACCCTATACAGGTTTGCTATGGGTAGGAACCGACTCAACAGCACTTCACAACAACAATAAGGAAGACCAGCTAATTCCACTATTATTCAAATATACACACTAATCACTAAAGCCAGTGATGATGAAATTGAAGAATTCTACCAGCTTCTTCAATCTGACATTGACCAAACGTGCAACCAAGATGTATCGATGATTACTGGCTATTGGAATACATAGTTTGGTAGCAAATAGAAAGGATCAGTAATATTATGGTAATAGAAATTATGTTGGAGATTGCATGATAGAATTCTGCAACACCAATGACTTGTTCATTGCAAATGCCTTTTAAACCACCTTAAAGATGACTACATACATGGACCTCACCAGTTTGAATACACAGAAATCAAACTGACTACATTTGTGGGAAGAGACAGTGGAAAAACTCCATATTATCAGCCAAAACAAGACCAGGAAAGACTGTGAAGGAGGCCCTTAATTGCTCATATGCAAGTTCAGGCTAAAGCTGAAGAAAATTAAAACAAGTCCACAAGAACCAAAACATGGCCTTGAGCATATCCCACCTGATTTAGGGATCATCTCTCAAAAGTAGATTTGATGCATTAGACACTAATGATGGAAGTCCAGAAGTATTGTTGGATGACATCAAGAACATCATACAGGAAGAAAGCAAAAGGTTATTAAGAAGATAAGAAAGAAGGAAAAGAACAAAATGGATGTCAGAAGAGACTCTGAAACTTGTTCTCTAGTGTAGAGATGCTAAAGCAAATGGAAGAAATGAGGAGGTAAAAGAGCTGAACAGAAATTTTCAATGGGCAGCTAAAAAAGAGAAAGTCAAATATTATAACAAAATGTGCCAAGACCTAGAGTTAGAAAACCAAAAGGGAAGCTCAGAAAATTAAAAAAAAATAAATAAATAAAAAAATCAAGCTTTGATTTGCAATATTGAAGGATTCTATGAACAAAATACTGAATGATGCAGAAAGCATCAAAAGAAGATGGAAGGAATACACAAAATGAAATGATCTATGTTCAACCATTTCAAGAGGTAGCACATGATCAAGAGCTAGTGATACTGAAGGAAGAAGTCCAAGGTGCATTAAAAGCATTGACAAAGAATAAGACACCGGTAATTGATGGAATGCAAATTGAAATTTTTCAACAAACTGACATGCCACTGGAGGCACTCACTCATCTAGGCCAAGAAATTTGGAAGACAACTACATGGCCAACTGACTGGAAGAGATCCATATTTTTTACCCATTCCAAAGAGAAGTGACCCAATGGAGTGTGGAACTCATCAGACAATATCATTAATATCGTATGCAAGTAAAATTTTGCTAACGATAATTCAAAAATGGCTGCAGCCATACGTTGACAGAGAACTTCCAAAGGTTCAAGCCAGATTCAGAAGAGGACATGGAACAAGAGATATCATTCTTGATGTCAGATGGATCTTGGCTGAAAGTAGAGAATACCAGAAAAATGTTTACCTATGCTTTACTGACTTCGCAAAGGCTTTCGATTGTCTGTATCATGACAAGCTATGGACAGCATTGTGGGAAATGAGTACAATGGAACACCTAATTGTGCTCATGAGGAGCCTGTCCATAGACCAGAAGGCAGTTGTTCGAACAGAACAAGAGAACACTGAATGGTTTAAAATTAGGAAAGGTATGTGCTAGGGTAGTGTTCTTTCACCACACTTATTCAATCTGGATGCAGAGCAAATAATTCGAGAAACTGGATTATATGAAGAAAAATATGACATCACCATTGGAGGAAGATTCATTAACAATCTGCAATATGCAGATGATATAACCTCACTTGCTGAAAGCAAAGAGGATTAAAAATGCTTACTGATGAAGATAAAAGATCACAGCCTTCAGTACGAGTTGCATCTCACTGTAAAAACAAAAACAAAAACAAAAAAGAAACCTCACCACTGGTCCAGTAAATGTAATCTCCATGTAAATGTAGAAAAGATTGAAGTTACCAAAGACTTTGTTTTGCTCAGATCTACCATCAACAATCATGGAAGCAGCCGTCAGGAAATCAAATGATGTATCACATTTGGCAAATCTGCCACACAAGACCTCTTTAAAATGTTCAAGAACAAAGATGTCAGTTTGAAGACTAAGGTGTGCCTGACCCAAGCCATGGTATTTTCAATAACCTTATATGCATGTGAAAGTTGAACAGTGAATAAGGAAAACTGTTAAAGGCCTGATGCATTTGCGTTATAGTGTTGGAGGAGAATATTGGAAGTACCACGGACTGCCAAAAGAATCTGTGTTGAAAGAAGCACCTTGGAAGCCAGGATAGCCAGACTTCATTTCTCATACTTTGGACACATTATCAGGAGGGGCCAGTCCTTGGAGAAGGATATCATGTTTGGTAAAGTAAAGGGTCAGAAAAAAAGAGGAAGACCCCCCAATGAGATGGATTGGCACAGTGACAGCAGCAAAGGGCTCAAATGCAGCAACCATTGTGAGGTTGGCCCAGGACTGGGCAGTGTTTTGTTCTGTTGTGCATAAAGTCGCTGTGAGTCAGTACCTACTCGATGGCACTTAACAACCACAACAACAACAAATCTCCACAGAAGCAGAAAGCCTCATTATTCCCCTCCAGGAGCGGGTGGCAGATTCCAACCACGGACCTTGTGCTTTGCCGACCATTGCTTAGTATTCATAGGAGATAATTATTATAGATAGCTCTTTCAAGTATCATTATTTGATGTTGTTAAGTGCCCATGAGTGCTTATCCTACAGAACCATTTAGATAAACTGAAATTTAAGATTATTACAGTTTTTATTCTTTATCATAGGGGCAAGGTGCTTGAATTCCAAGAATGAAAGATACTTTTCCTGTCTTTGGAGGGCCCTGACTCTGTTCATATTTCCAACATTAGAGTTGTCTCAGAAGGCAGAGCGGGTTTCCTTATACTGAGATTGCTAATCTACGTCTACCAAGAGTCACTAAAGAACTCATCTAGTGACAGACACTGAGATTTGTCCCAAACCATGAAGACAATGAGATTCCTTCAATAATTTGATTCTCCGGCACTAATGCAAAGAGTGTCAGAGATTTATAGCCATGCTTCATACATTTAATATTTAGACTACACAGGACACACTCCTGTAAGAAAGTTCAATAATTGTCCTCTGGGTGGAGGTATTACCAGGTTTTAAAGTTGTGGCAGAAGATACAAACTATCAATGGCGCTAAATTCAAAGAGGACAGAAATCAAGTCAAGGAAAAGAAACGCTCAAGAATATCAAACGTGCCTCCTTTTCGGCCTCAGGTGCAATAAGGAGAAAGGCCAAGGGTCTGCATTGATTGGGGCTTGAAGCGAGCCTCCGAACTCAGACTAAATTCTCTTCTCTTGGTGAACACATGGGCACGAGGAACCCCAAAACGTCAGTGCCCCCACTTAGGATAACTAACTTTTTGCTGCTCAACAGATTGTGAGGACAGGGGCGCCCATGGGATAGCACCCCTCGATGGCGCGCACAGCGGCTGAACCGAGTGAGGGGCGGGGTGGGCCCGGCGCCCGCCAACGCTACCGGAGCCCGAGCGCTTCCCGGTCCTCCTCCTCCGCGCCGTCACTGGCTGCATCTCCGCAGCCCCGGCACAATAGAGGCTCCGCCCCTCCCTACAAGCGAGCGCTCGCTGCACCCCTGTCCAGCCACCGCCGCCGGTCCAGCGCCCCACGCCCAGTGCCGGTGCGTCCCCAGGCTCCCTGTCGCCCGGCCCGGCGCACACTGCCGCCTCCGCCCGGGCCACTGCCACCTGAGCCCTCGCTTGCCTTCATCTCATCTTGCCCTGCGCCCAGGCTCTCCACTGAGACTGCACTATTGATTGCTGCTATCGTCGGGCAGGAGATGCCCAGGGTCTCTGTGGCGAACCCTCCTGCCACGCTCATTCGCACCCAGCTTTGGAAGGTGCTCTGAGCAGCCACTCTCGGGATTCAGCCAAGACATCTGCTAGCCCCAATTCCTGCCGAGACCTCGGACTCTAGCTGTCCTTAGAAGGGGTCAATCCCTGTCTTGTTGAGTCCCTCATGGCTAAGTCTCTGTTGCTGGTTCTCTACTTAGCGCTGGTTGTGGCTCCGGGCTGGGGGTCCAGCACTCGCCCCACAGGAACTATCGAGCCCCCAGACGTGCAAACGGTGGCACCCACGGAGGATGAGACTCTGCAAAACGAAGCAGACAACCAGGAAAACGTCTTATCTCAGGTAGGATGCTGATTCCCATACCCTCTTCTGCTTCGGGTGGTGTTAGGGGTTCCAAGATGGTCCGAACTAAAGCCGGTTTTCTTGACAAGGTAGGGAGGAGGGGGAGCAACTCTTTATTTGTTCATTACCAACGGAGAGAACAGTTGCTTTTCACTTGCCAGAATATTTTCTTACACAGAGGAACATGGGTCCTCCTTTCAAAAGCATGGGGATTTTCAAGGTTATGGAGTCTGGAGAAAGGGAAGAAGGAAGGAAAGTCTCCACACAGCTCTCTGAGAGGAAAGAAGGGTGATTCAATGGTTGTGAAAAGTACTCTCTTGTCTATGTGGCTGTTTGTCAGGATTGGAATGAGAAAAGAGCATGTGGAACAAAAGGCAGATGGTGTGACCCATGGGAGATAAGTCTCTGCACAGAGTGAGGCAGCAGGCTAAAAACAGGGCAGAAGACAGAACCCTAATGGTATGATGAATGTGAGGTGCCCCCAAAACAGATGGTTTGATCAACCAGACTTGACACTCTGTGTGTTGTAGAGATAAGTACAAATGCAAGTCCACTCTGGTCTGGTCAGATGATCATGATGGATTCTGTGATATGCCAATTTACAAAGTACCTACTATACTTGCTTTATCTGACTCCATCCTCATGATACCTTTATACCCATTCTAAAGATAAGGACGGTGAACATTAAAGAGAACCAGTGGTGGGCAGAGCCAGGGCTTCTGATAATCTTCAGCCTGGGTCTCATGAATGCAAGGAGCAGTTGTCTCTGCAGTGTTCATTTTCTGCTATTAAGATCAGGCATGATGATGTGGTGAATGTCACCAAAATTCTAAGAATGAAAAATGGCTAAGAAAGGATCCCATAGATCTGCTTGAATCTCCATTAGCCCTCAGACTGAGCCTTGTCTCCTTCCTGTGCAGGGAATGATCAGCTACACTTCAGGATTTATCAGACCTTTTTCAGGTGCTCTGTAGGATAAGCACTGGGCTGCAAACCAAAAAGTCAGCGGTTCGAGCCCATAAGCTGCTCCTCTGGAGAAAGATGAGTCTTGCTACTCTTGTACAAAGATTTACAGCCTTGGAAACCCTATACAGGGTCACTATGAGTGGAACCTACTCAACGGCACTTACCAATAACAATCTCTGCCCCTTATTTTAGTAATTACGCTAATGTATGTCCTATACCTACCCATAACTTCCCTAAATAAAAAACCTACTGCTATGGAGTCAATTCTGACTCATAGAAACCCTATTTCTTAGGGTTACAAGAGCAGAAAGCCTCACCTTTCTCCCAAGGAGCAACTGGTGGGTGTGAACTGCTGACCTTGCAGTTAGGAGTCCAGTGCTTATCCTACCCCCAGGTCTCCTTCATAACCTTTCATTGACCTCCATATTGAAAAGACAAATTGGGGCTCTGGAGCACCATCAACAAAAGCTTCTCTGAAACTCGAGACTATTGAAAGGAAAGAATCCACCCAGGGTCTCTGAGCAAGGTTATGAAGTAATCTAGGCCGAGTTTCAGCTGACAGCCATGATTTACTGTCAACCCATAAAGAGCTGCCGATCAAGTCTCCCTGAACTACAACTCCTTTTCCACTGATCCACTCTGTATTTGACAACAGCTCTAAAACAAATATTAGTATTAGAAAAAACTCAACCTTTGCAAGGAAAACACTATAAGCCTCCTTCCCCTCAGCATCTCAGAAACATTTCCACTCAAACCAGCTCAATGCTTGCCTGCCTGGCGGGGTCATTAATCAAATGAAGGAACTCTTCTCTTTGCCTAGAAAAGCCCCAGATACAGGGATGCAAGGCCTTTTGGAGAGGAGCGTTTTCCTCAGCAAGTGCCCAGGGTGGAGGGCTCCAGTTAGCCTGCTGGTATATGTTTTCCTTCCCTGGGAAGGGAGGCTGGCATGGGGAATATCTCAGAAGGAAATGTTTAGCAATGTAGAAGACTGAACATGCTGCTGGATTGTTCTCCTGAATTTGGCCCGAAGTTTAGGTCAGAAACTGTTTTTGGAGCCAAACAAACCTTTCACTGAGTAAACCTTAACAATGCCTTTGGGCCAGTCTCCATCCTCCCAACTCCTTTTCTCCATCCATTTTGTTGTTAAGTGCCATTGAGTCGGTGCTGACTCATAGCAACCCTGTATAGGGTTTCTGAGAAGCGACGGGTGACCATCCAGCCTACATCTCCAAATTCAATCCACCCTTCAAGACTTAGGTCTAATATTCCTTCCTCCACAAAGTCTTCCCTGATTCCCCACATGGAGCCACTCTTGGCTCCTTTGAGCTCCCACTGCACTTTACCTCTGCCTCCTTGAACACTTACCACTGTCTACTTTGCAGGATTGTTGTGCGTGTACCTCTGGGCCATCTGCTTACCTCTCATAGCACCTAGCACAGTCCTGGCACATAGTTGGAACTCAGTAAACACTGATTGAACCAATGAGGATAGAAGTTGAACATCAATTTTCATATCAACTTTCCAATCCCTCCTTCAGCCCTCCTTCTTTTTCTTTATAACTCTAAACCTGGATTCTAGTGAAGGCAAGGGTTATTGGAGGAATGATGGGTCTCATCTGTTTTTTCCCTTTGAATGGTGGAAAGCTAAGGTCTCTTGAGAAATGAACAGCTTTCCAAGACAAACCACGAGAGCTGAACTCTGAGTGCCTTCAAGGGAACGTCAGAGTCAGCAAATTGTGTTGCGATGACCTATTTGCTCCATGGTTCAGAGTTTTCTGAGGTCTCTGGCCAGTGCAGGGCGTTTGACAAGAGTTCAGAGAGAACCTTCTCCAGGAGCCTGACCAACCCCAGCACCTGTATACCCTCAATCCTCCCTCCTTCTCTCTCTCCAGTTGCTGGGGGACTATGACAAGGTCAAGGCCGTGTCAGAGGGCTCAGACTGTCAGTGCAAGTGTGTGGTGAGACCCCTGGGCCGTGACGCCTGCCAGAGGATCAATGAGGGGACCTCCAGGAAGGAAGACTTCTACACTGTGGAGACCATCACTTCAGGCTCATCCTGCAAGTGTGCCTGTGTTGCGCCCCCATCTGCCCTCAATCCCTGTGAGGGAGACTTCAGGCTACAGAAGCTACGGGAAGCAGACAGCCGGGACTTAAAGGTAGGCCAGTATAGGGCTTTGCCATCAGTAAGATGAGTTTTACACTTAGCTCAGGACCCATGAGTCCAGCAGGGCCATTGTTGGAGGATATAAAACCTTTGACTAGGTGAGACCCATTTTAGCTTTTAATGAACTCCAAGCCCTGGGACCTAGAGTGTTGTGTGTGGACTCGGGGCAGATGATCTAACAAACTGGTCATTTTCAGCAGCTCTGAGTCTGAGGAGGATGCTGAGAGCAAAGCGTGCCTGCTTCTCCTTATGGAGCCAGGGAGTCCAGGCTTGTGAGCAGCTGCCAGGCCCAGCCAGCCAAAAGAACTTAGTGTTCTCCAAGAGAAGAGCTGCCATGGTGTGCTGTCAGCCCAGCATGCACCCTGCAGAAGCAAGAGACATAGAAAGGAGTGAGCTTTCAGTCCTCAGCTCTAGATCTGGCCTGGTCCAGGCAGACTGAGGCCTGCTCTGGGCCCAGTCTTGTTAACTGCATCAACTGGGCATCTCAGGCCTCACCTGGAGCAGCCCCAGGTTGGCTTGGAGCTTTATATAATCCAACACTTTGCCCTTTAACTTGCAGCATGGGGTAGTGGAATGGGCTTGCTTTTGAAGTCCTACGACATGGGTCCAAATCATTGTTATGGGGCCACTTATTGAGTAATCCTGCTTACGTTTTTTTAATCTGTTTGACCTCAGTGTTCATGAATAAAATGTGAGAATAATAACATCTACCATGTGGAGTTGTTCTGAGATTCAACACGACGACAACTGTTGCACAATGCCTGACATCGTTGTTGTTGTTAGATGCTGTTGAGTCAGTTTCGATTCATAGTAGCCCAGTGTGATAGAACAGAACTGCCACATACGGTTTTCTAGGCTATAATATGGGGCAGATCACCAGGTCTTTCTTCCTTGGAGCTACGGGGTGGATTTAAACCAACAACCTTTCGGTCAGCAGGTGAGCACTTAACCACCATGTCACCAGGGCTCCTCGACAGACAGTTGGTGTTAAGTGTTGTCAAGTTGATTCTAACTATAGCGACCCTGTATAGAGTTTCTGAGGAGTGATTGGTAGGTTTGTAGCACTGATCTTGCAGTTAGCAGTCCAGTGCTTATCCTATAGACACATACCAGAACTCCCAACATATAGTTTTTGGTAGTGGTCGTATGCTATGGTGTTAGTTCTAACTCATAGCAATCCTATATAGGGTTTCTGAAGCTCTAACTCTTTATGAGAGCAGAAGGCCTCATTTTTCTCCTGTGAAGCAGCTGATAGTTTTGAACTGCTGACCTTGTAGTTAGCAGCCCAACTTATAATTCACTACACTACCAGAGCTCCTTGTTGTTGTTGTTAAAGTGCTGTTGAGTGGGTTCCAACCCATAGAGACCCTGTTTAGGATTTCTGGGGAGTGGCTGGTGAATTTGAACCACCGACCTTGTGACTACAGCACCACACCATAGAAATACAAGTTGTATGAATGAATGATCTTGTCAGTGCCAGTGCTGCTTCTGGTACTTGGTACACACTCTGTGACTGGTAGTCACCGTAATTCAACAGTGATAGGTTCAGGACTTGGCCATGTCACTCAGAGCTGCAGCTCTGCTATAAAACTGGTATCTGAACCAAGTACCATAGTCACTCATGCATAGGCTTGAACTCTTGGGAGCTTCTGGAATAGCACTGGCAAAAATTTCCATTAGGAATCAGAAAATCATCACAGTAGAATCTAACCAAGTTACCTGGACTCTTACTCAGAATCTGGCTATCTTTTTCTGGTGAGGAAGATTCTCATAAATGAGAGTCTTCATCTGGAAGTAATGCTCAGAGATGAGTGAGGAGCAGAGATTTTGAAAGTCTCTTTGCCTATACTCTAAATGTCCTGAATGCTCCCAAAGCCTCAGCAACCTTCCTCCCAAGGACTCTGTACTGGAAGGAGGGACAGTAATGAAAACAAACAAAAAAAAAAACAAAAACAAAGGAAGTTTGGGTGCTTTGTGACAGCTTTGTACCTCAAAGTTGGATCATTGAGTCTCTCTTTATCCCAGGGTTAGTTTAGCTATTTTTAGTTTAGCTAAGGGAAAACCCGCTGGCCTTCAGCATGTAGTTGAGTATTTAAAAAAACATATCCTCAGACATTGATGTTTATAAGCCACTTTGTTGAATATTTGTAAATTTCCTATTACAGGTCAGGTGGTATCTTGGGATACTTGCAAAGAGTTCACAATTTAATATGAAAAAGATACAAGAGGTATAAATGATTTTGAAGGAGTTCTGGTGGTACAATAGTTAAGCACTTACTGCTAACCAAAAGGTTTGTTTTTTTTTTAACACCCTCAGCAGCTCCATGGGAGAAAAGACTTGGGAATCTGTTCCTGTAAAGATTAGAGCCTGGAATACCCCATCAGGCAGCTGTTCTCTGTCACATGGGGTTACTATGAATCAAAACCAACTGGATGGCATACAATAACACCAAGAAAAACAGTTTGGCGATGATGTCTAGACTTCAGAGTTCACTTGTTCTTGTAGGGGTTTGCCATTATCGTAGCCAGGTATTAACAGAACGCACAAGACAGCTGCACCATTGTGCTTGCGTCTGAGACCACCTACACACATGCCAAGCAACCCTAGTAGCATAGTGGACTATGAGTTGAGCTGAATAAAATGCAAGAATAGATGTATTATTCTATTAAAACCTACCAGCCGCTTCTTGGGAGAAAAATGAGCCTTTCTGCCCCCATAAAGACTTACAGCTTTGGAAACCCTATGATTTCAAAAAAAAACTCATGAGGGTCTCTATGAATCGGAATCGATTCAACAATAGACAACCACCGCCACCACCACATAAATGCCTGTTTTTGAGGGGCCACCTCTCAATTCCTGATAATTGACTTCCTAGACAAGCTCTCAAACATGGAGATCTGAAAGGAAACTCCTCTCCCTTTGGACTTTCTGCCCCAGCCCTGGACTAACTCTCTGCCTTGTTTCATAGCTCTCCACCATCATGGACATGCTAGAAGGCGCTTTTTATGGCCTGGATCTCTTGAAACTGCATTCAGTCACCACCAAACTGATAGGGCGAGTGGATAAGCTGGAGGAGGTAAGGAAGAGTTTGGGTTTCCATATCTTTTTCACTGTCAGATTTAAAAGTAGACCAAACTTCCTACAATGTTAAGTGTACCCTAGTTAGACTTCACCCATTCTATTTTTTGGAATAGAAAAAAATATATATGGCATTCACAAAATCACACCAAATTGTTGGTGACAAAGGGAATCCATGAAATATACATGTAAATCGGGAACTCAACACTAAATGAAATGCCAAAGTTCAATAATAAGCTTCTTACCTCTAGTTTTGGGAATATGGTTGTTAATTTCTTGTGCTGGTTTTATTTTGAACTATTCTGGTGCATGCCTTAATATGTGTGTGTGTAAATACAAATTTTTACAAGTATAATAATTTCTAAAAATATAACACTCATGAAACCACTACCCAGCTCAAGAAAGGGTCCTATCAATACCCTAAGAGCCCCTTACAAGCCCTTGTCTCCTCCAATGCCTCCCCCAGTCCCCCTAAGGTAGCCACGATCCTGACTTTTGTGTTAATCATCTTCCTTGCTTTTCTTTGTATTTTTATTATCTAAAGGTATATCCCTAAATATAATAGTTTTGTCTGTTTTTGAAATTTAAAATAGAGATTCCTTCAGAATATATATGTGTCAGTGTGTGTGTGTGTGTGTGGAGGGGGTGTAAATGCATTTCAAATCTATTTTGGAGTAGGAAGAGATAAACATTATTACAGTGAAACCCGTGAGAGCTGGAATTTGATAGGACTGCCTTGCTTATCTGGTTCTTGCAAATTTTCTGCCTTTGACATGGTGTAATCTTTCCACTTTTCTGTCTCTACTTTCAGTGAATGAAATTAGAGTTTTCCTTCTTTAACAAGTTTCTGCCTTACACAGTTTCTGACTTTTGCAAGTTTTGTTGTTGTTGTTGTTAAGTGCCATCGAGTCAGCAAGTTTTACTGACTAGTAAATAATGGTACCTACTGGAAAACAAAATCTCATCACCTCCTGGTGATACTGGACCAGTAAAGTAATTTTCATAGACGGAGATACCACATTCTCTGACTGAGTTCCAGAGAAATAAACAGCTGGCAACATCTTTTTCATTGTTACAGTGGGACACAGAAATCGTTATCATCACAACCAAACCAAAACAAAGACCACTACCATCGAGTCACTTCTGACTCATAGTGACCCTATTTAAGGTTTCCAGGACTGTAAATCTTTTTGGGAGCAGACAGCTTCATCTTTCTCCTGTGGAACAGCTGGTGGGTTTGAACCACTGACCTTGTTATTAGTAGCCTGGTGCCTAACCCACAGCACTACCAGGGCTCCCTTACATACATAACAGTGATGTTGCTATTACATTTGGTTGTTGTAACCCTTTAACATATTGTTGCTGTTAGGTGCCATGGAGTCGGTACTGGCTCATAGCGACCCTATGTACAACAGAACGAAACACTGCCTGGTCCTGCACCAACTTCAAAATTGTTGCCATGCTTAAGCCCATTGATAATGCCACTTTTCCAATCCATCTCGCTGGGGGTCTTCCTCTTTATCTCTGACCTTCCCTCCATCTTACCAAACATGATATCATTTTCCAGCGACTGGTCCCTCCTGACAACATGTAGATAAGAAATAATTTAACCACCAGAAAAGTAATGACCATCATTTATCCTAAACTTCTGGGTATATTCCTTTGATTGACATCCAGTTCCTAGACTAATAAGTGAAGCAGTGACTCGAAATGCTGCTGCTCCAAGTAAACACCTATTTCTTTAATCTGTAGTGCCCCTATAACTGGTAAATTTAATAGTAGAACAACTGTAAATATCAAAAAGTGGGCACTGGGGAGTCTATGCGGAGTTGCTAAGGATTCCTGACCTGTGATTAGTAGATGTCAGATGTGAAAAAACGGCTAAGGGTTTCTAGTTTGTGGCAGAAAGTGTACTAGAACAGATGTCAGGAGAGAATGGCTTAGGGCAGATCACACCTCTGAGTCTGACTTTCTTCCCTGTAAAGTAAGAATCAAGGACCCCTGGCGATGCAGTGTTTAGGTAGGTGCTCAGCTGCTAACTGAGACGTCGGCAGTCAAAGCACACCAACCACTCCTTGAGAGAAAGATGTGGCAGTCTGCTTTATAAAGCCTTTTAAAGCCTTACAACCTTGGAAACCCTTTGGGGCAGTTCTGCTGTGTCCTGTGGGGTTGCTATGACTTGGTGGCAGTGAGTTTGATTTAAAGTGGAAATGGTGTCCTACTTTTGCAGGATTGCTAAGGAGTTTAAGCAAACAAACCTGTAGCTAACAAATCAATTCTAACTCACAAAGACCTCAGGTGTATCAGTGGAGTTGTGCTCATAGTATTTTTAATGACTGATTTTGGAGGGAAGATCTCCAGACCTTTCTTCCAAGGTGCCTCTGAGTGGACTTGAACTGCCAATCTTTTGATTAACAGCTGAGCATGTTTGCTGTTTGAAGCATCTAGAGATGTCTGCTGAGGGGCTAAAAAATAAGCTAATCATTATGAAAGTACTTTGAAACCATTAACTAAAACAAGACGCCTGGGTTATGACCAAGGAGTGAGTGGAGCAAACAGTTCCAAGTTGATTTGCCAAGAGAGCTGGGACAGAGATGACGAAATATTGCAGTGAGAATGTGTTACAGTATGCTCCTTCCACTCCTAAAAATGTTCTAGATAAGTGAGTACCAGTTCCTTTTGTAGCCACCAATAGTGTGACCAAGTGCTTTCTGACTATGACTCTGGAATGGTTGGTAGGGCCACAGCCACCTCAGGCTACAAGGTCTGATGAGAGCTCTCAGGGCTCTGGACACTCAGCTTTGTGGACAGGTCCCTGAGAGAACCAGGCTCTTGGCACCTGAGTCTCCTTCTCCAGTGACAGCAACCAAATAATGAGATTAGGAATGGCCAATACATTCTAATACCAATGGGTCATAGCCACTTCATGTAGTCTTGGAACATCTCCTCACATTTAAAACTACTTCTGATCCTTTCAGATGAGTTCAAAAGGATTTAAATCAGGATCCAACACTTGTTGGAGAAGTGCCTCTGTTTCCCTTGGCCTCCAAGAACAGCCAAACTTGCCAAGACTCTTTATAAGAGGATTGTATTTCTACAGGAGCAGGGGGTGACAGCTACCTCTACTGATTTCACCCAGCCTTGGCAGCCACATGACTCTCATTCTGTCTGTTGACTACAGGGTGCTGGAAAAGATAGTTCTGAAATAGCATATAAAACTCCTTAGGTCCAGGGCAGGTGCTTAGCCCCTGAGGAGACCATGAGTTGAGTTCTCCATCCTTGTCCAGCAGCTGAGGCCTCCCAGTGGCAAATTATAATCACGTGGGTGAATTTGGTACACTACTACTACCCTTGCAGTTGCACAATCACTGGGATTTTGCAAAAATAATCTTTGTTACATCTCTTCCAAAACTATGGTGCATTTAGTAGCAAAACCCAGACATTTATGTAAAAAAACAAAGAAAGCACTAGTAATCCCTTGTATTTGTATAGCATTTTGCTCTTTTTACAGCATTCCATATACATTCGTCCACTTGTTTCTGTGAGCAGGGCAGGGTATGAGGCCTAAGGAAGTTAGGTGACTTGCCTAAGATCATGGTGATAGGAAGTGTAGGGCTGAGCTCAGGCATCCTGGCGCCTGGTCCAGGGCTCTTTCTAATCACCTTGTAATTTCCCTTGAATCGTTGCTATCTGCCTTTCCATGATTAATTTTCCTCACCAGAACTTAAGACAGTATCTCTTCCAAGAGGGTTTCTGGACAGGACCATGACTGTGTCTCATAAATCCAATTAAATAGGATTAAAGTTGTGTTAGAGAAAGTTTCCCATCTAATTGCAAGCTCAGTGAAAGGTTTTCCCGAACCAGGCAGTCCAAGGTGATAGGGGTGGCTTCTCCAGGGGGCTTGGTATGATGCTAGGGTCTTCAGATGGCTCAGAGACTCCTAGGCAAGGTCTCCCAGCTTGAGATCAGAGCAAGGTCTCCCAGCTTGAGGTCCAGCCATGTGTCTCCTGGTTTGTGCCAACTGACTCTGTCAGACTGTCTGGAGTTTTCAGTAATTGAAAAGGCAGAATGTTAGGTAAATGGAAAAAACACTGCCTCTCCAAACTGGTGCTTCAGGAGATGTGGACGTGAACGTTTGCTCCTGGCCCTTAGATATTCTTGAATCCCAAAGCGGGGGTTCCTTGGAGGTCAGACAAGACAAAGGAGGTCAGATTGGAGGGGCATTCTGCCCAAAGTAGGATCAGTACTTGGCAGTATAAGCAGGCAGGCACACGTGTGTACATCCACTTAGAATATACAGAAGGATGTAGAAATGGAAACTCCATTCGCAGATGAAAGATGAAGGAAAGTGAGAGAAATGGAATCTGAACAGTTCAGTTTCATGTCTTGTCAAATCAGCTCCAGGAGCTCTGCTTAAGTGAAGTGATTTTTGTTAAAGTTGTGTTTTAAATTGTGAAAAATAAGTACATAGAAGAGTGCGTAAATAATGAGTGTACAGCTTAAACAAATTATTATAAAGTAAATATCCACATAACCGCCACCCAGCTAACGCAACAGAATAACAGCAACACCCGAAGAGTCCCTCATATATTCTTTTCTATTCATACCCACCCTCTGAAGTTAGCCATGGCACTACAGGATAATGTACTAGACCACAAGGGCAGGTTGAGCTGCAAGGTCAGTGGTTCAAACTCACCAGCCACTCCTTGAAAATCCTATACAGGATCGCTGAGTGGGAACCAACTCAACAGCACTTAACAACAACTTTTATGTTAATCATTTTCTTTGCTCTTTATTTACAGTTTTGCCATCTAAGGATGCATGCCTAAGTACAATAAGTTTGCCTGTCTTTGACCTTTAAATATATAGACTCTTACAGAATATATGGAATTTCAACCAACTTTCTGTTTTTAATATTTACCTGTCATTTTTGTGTCTTGTAGTTCATTCAATTTTATTGCTGTGTAGTAGTCGATTGTGTGACTATTCACTTAACTT